GAATTAAGTGCTGGTGAGATACCCTAACAGGCAACAACAGTTTTATTGCAGATGCTGGAGCCTGTGATTGAGTGGCCCATGGAAAACAGGACCGAGGATAAAGGAGGATGAGGAGAAGCGGTCTTAAAAGCCTTGTCTTTCCCACTGGGGAGGCCCTGTGGATTTTTGGGAACAGTTAGTCAATTCTGTTGTCCCTGACAATGCCTGCAGCACAGAGGGAAGGTCAGGAGACCAGTGCTCCTGGTGAAGACATGCAGCTTGATGCTGAGGATGAGGAGACGTTGTGTGTTTGGGAGGATTTTCTGAAACCCAAAAGGAGAGATGCACATTGCAGCCTTGGAGAAAGGTCTGCTTTGTTTTTTAATAATAAAGGGTGACATGCAAGCGTTATTAACAAGGCACGTTGAGGAAAAAAAAAGGCTCAAGGGATAACCCTGAAAAAGTGGTGCTAAATGTGTCATTTTTATGAAGCTGATTTTGTGAAGAGTCCCTACATGCTTTGGCAGGAGGTTGCAGCAGGTTTACAATAATTTGTAGAAAGATAGAAATGTTTTCACCCTGAAGTGAGAAGAAGGGCAAAAAAACCCGTGCTGAGGTGCTTTAGAGTTGTCTTCTGAGGCAGAGGCTGGTGAAGGGACGGATACCTGTCACTTCGGGTTGGGAGAGATTGGGCTGTGCTGAGGGGCTGAAGTGTGGACCAAGGAGCCAAACCCTCCATCAAGAGCCTGCAGCTGGACACAATGAAGAAAGCTGGATTTTCACCTCCACAGAGTTTTGTTGTAAAAAAACCCAACCCACCACATTGGAAATAGCTGAAAAGAGGGAAGAGTGAGAAAGAACCAGATCATGGGTATCTGCTGCGAAATGGGCAGGCTGGCAGGGACACGGCTCAGCACATGTCACTCCACCCTGGGGACCGACCCCAGCCAGCATCCTCTATTTCTCCATCAGTCCACAGTGGTGGTCATGCCCTGAGTCACTGCAGCCCACTGACACTTGTATTAATTCCCCCGAAATTGCCTTCAGATCCTCTGGGCTTTATTTCTGTTTCTGCAGCAGAGAGTGAGTAGTCATTAGAGCAGTGCCCTGTTGCTAATGGGCCATTTGCTAAGGGGGAAGTCACCCCCACCTGATGTCCAGGTCAAGAAGAGTTGTTCTGATGTTTGTTCACTTTTTTTTTAATTTAATGGAATTGGCAGACCTCAACCAAAAGCAACCACTGCGGGAAAAAAAACCCCACAACTTAAAATTTCCTTGCTGATTGCTCAATTCTGAGTGTATCTGTTGTTATATTTGTGTTGCTAAGGCAGCGGTTAAATAAAAGCATTTTTCAAATTAGGTACTGGTAGGCTGTATGCCGAGCTAGGACTCTGATGGCATTGACATCAACATGCCTGCATCTGGAAAGCAAATCCCAAGCCTGGAGGACAGCAGGGTTCTTTTCCTTTAAGGTAAATGCAGGCTGAAACCACAGACTTTATGCTAGGTGTTAGTTGGCCCTTTCTGATATCTTGAATGTATGCTTTATTCATGGCATGGAGGCTGAGGGTCTGATCCTGACAAACATGAGCATCCTTTATTCATGATATGATGAGCAGGAGATAAGAATTGGCAGTGCCATTTGGGAAGTTCTTGCTGTACCTGGCTCTGGACGTGGAGAGGAGAAGCTGGGCTCAAGGCTGGGCCCAAGCCTGGGCTCCCCTTTGATTTTTATAGGAGCAATGCTGATCAGTGAGAAAGTAATGGTTTGTTTGCTTCTGCCAAAATAATGAAGAAGATGAGGGCTGGCCTCTTGATGATACACTTTATGAAGAGCACACTTTCATCAGTACCAGTCAGCCTTACCTTTTCCCTCTTTTTTTGTGCTTTGACTTTGTTCTTTGGGCCTCATTAAGAGAGGGAGTGGATCCTTTCCCAATTAAAATGTTGACATGTCAGAGATGCTCTCCTTCCCTGTTGTTTTGCCTGTTTATAAGTGATAGCATTTCCCAGAATGAACTAGAATTAAATAAATTGAACTTCAATTGAATAATGCAAGCTTTAAAGCACCCCTTCTCCATGAAAAATCTCATTTCTTTTTTATTTTTCTGTTTTGATCCCCTAGCTGGCATGGAGATAACCTTGATGGATAATCCTATGGCTGAGGAGATGTCTTATAAACTGCAAAGCTACCTTGTGCACTCGCAGGAGCTCTCACCAAGGGTGCAAACCCCCAGCCTGGGATGGAAACACATTTCCCATCCTTGTAGCCATGTCATTCCTTGTCTTGTCCAAAATCTGGAAGTAATTAGCATTAGTCGTGCTGTTTTTGGTGGTGTGGGGAATTTGAAGCCTGGGAACGAATGCTGTGACTGACCCTGCGGGAACCCACTTGCTGGCATAGGGACTTGCAGGTTCTTCATTGGTGACATGGTGCAGAGCATCCTGAGCAGGGCGGACATGTGGTCTGAGGAGTCCGCATGGGAAGGAAGGTACACCAGTTCATCAAACGTAAATCATGGGGAAATTGCTCGTTGGTGAATGATTTCAGTTGAGCCAGGATTTGATCTTCTTTTTCGGTCGTAAATCAATAGCAAAGCTCCCAGTGATGTTGGTCAGAGGGGGATTTAGCACAAGGTCTGTATCGGGGCTGCGGCAGGAGATGTGATGTGTGGCGGTTCCTCAGCCTGTGGTGGGGTTTTGGTGGCATAGGTTGAGTGTTCCCTGCGGATGGCCCTGGGTATCCCCTGGCCCCAGATGCCTACGTTGTATGGTGCCAGTGCTCTGAGCATTTAAAGCTCTGTGATCTATGTGTATATATTGAAATTTGCTCTCTGGGTCCTCTCACCCACCCATTCCTCTCATGGTTTTCCCAGGGCTGAGATGCACACACACACATAGAGATGAAGCTGGTGGAGGTAGTGGTGGGCACAGGGGTCTCACGCTACTGCTGGACATGGCGGCAGGGCTGGGGACACGGGGATGGAGTCAGCTGAGGCTCTGGGCTTGCTGGAGCTGTTCCCATGTCTGCCAGCACAGGGTGATGGAGGGGCTCCCTGCCAAGCAGGGATTGTGCCGAATCTGGCTCTGATCCCTCCTGCCCTCCATCACTTGGCTGCCCTCAGAGCACATTTGCAGAGCTGGGATCACCCACAGAGCTGCTGGCGGGGACAGACTGTGGGGTAGCATCTACCCCCTGGTTTTGGCAGTGTCAGGACTGATGGAGAAACACAAAACTGGACATCTTCTGCAGCGTTTTAAGTCTTTGGCATTGTATATTTTATGTGTGTGCTCCCGAGCTCTAACCATCAAAGTCGTCCTGCAGGACTGAGGATGCAGGAACTGCAGGGACCAGTAGTTTGTGCAGTAAATCTCCTGTGTGACTCTCCAGCAGTAATTACTGTGTGAAAGTAATAACTGAGCTGTGCTGAGTGCTAGGCTGACTCCCCCAGCTCACAGTTCCTTGCATGTTTCTCTCCGGGAGGCTCCTGTTTGGTAAATTAGGTATTGTGCTGTATTTCAGAAAAGGTCACACTTAACCAACGCTGCCTTTCCTTTATTATCTTGGCAGAGCTGTGTAACCTCTGCTGGGGTATGATTGGATTTCACATTTGGTTCTGTTGCAGCAGCCCCACTCCCTGCATCCTGCCGTTGTGATTACGTTAGCAGCAGATTCTGCTTTCCTTTATTTATTGAGACATTAAAGATGCATGCATTTATTTTTACCATGCTCATAATTGCCATAAGAACAAGCCCTAGCATCCCAGAGTGACTCCTTGGGAAGAGGAGCAGCTGAAGGGCCAAGGCGAGGAGGAGCCGTGGCAAAGAGGAGGCAGGACAGGATTGCTGGGGCAGGTGACTGTCTCTGCTCCTGTCTTGGGGGGACACTGCTGTAAGCCCAGAGGAAGAGGGACAGAGCAGAGTGTGCCCCTTCTGCTGCACTGGGTGTCAGTTGGCGGCAAGGGGCATCCCCTGGGCCAGGAGTGATGCTGGTGGGGAGCCCAGGTGGGATCCTTGCAGATCTGGGGGGGGATTTGAGTGGATGGATGGATGGGCTGGGGTACTTGACTCATACAAAGAGACCTTCATCCTCCTTGGTCCCTGAAGCCCAGGAAGGATCCCAAGGCAGGCCATGCAGCTCCCACCATGTCCCACCGTTCAGCTTCTACTGAATCCCACTGTGTAGCTCCCACCATGTCCCACCATGCATCTCCCACTGCATTCCACCATGCAGCTCTCACAACGTCCCACCCCACAGCTCCCACCATGGCCTCTTGGCTGGTAACATCCTGCTATCTTCTCCACTTTCCAGTTGCTTTTTTCTGTTCCTTGCCTGCTGCAAGCAGCAGAAATCCAAGGCTCTGTAATCTGAGGTTAAAAGGTTAAAAGACGGAGCTTCAAGTGCCAAGTGAGTTAGTGGGTTTTGCTTGCAAATTACAAATCCATTGACTTTTCCCCCACTGCTTTCACTCCCTTCCAACTTTTAAGCATGTCACCTATTGTTTGCTTTTTTACTGATAACAGAACCCACTGTCTCTGCAAACGAAATGATGTAAAACAAAGAAAAGTGCCTGCATTAAATTCTCTGGCAGGGGATTACCTTGCTGGCATTTACATATCTATGCAATAAATATTTTAACATGTTAATTATACACTAATAAGAAAAATACCTTTTGAACTTTCAGTCAAATTGACGCACACGGAACTGAGTCCATCAGGGAATTAAAAGCAATTAGTTTTGTAACAGAGCGTAGTCACATTGTTTCTTCTCTGCAAATTGTTCTGTGGTCACCAGTCAGGCTGTTTATTTTGGTGAAAGCTGGTGGAAAACCGACGGGGACTGCAGTTTTCCATGCCCAGCTCTGTCCCACTCACTGGGGTCTGCCCCATGGTGGGATGTTCCTTCTCTCCTGTGGAGTTTGCTGGTGGCTTTTGTCCTGGCCCTGCAAACTCGGCCGTTCCCAGGCATGGGGAAGTCAGACGTGTAACCATCTCCCTTTTTTTTGTTTTCCTCCTTCCAGACTGAGAACTACTCCTTTGATTCCAACTACGTGAACAGCAGAGCTCATTTAATAAAAAGGTACGTAGGCTTGATTGAAAGTGCTTGGGTTTGCCCAGCCAAATCCTGATTATTTAATGCTCTTCTTTACTGCGTTATAGTCTACTTGCTTTTTTTAATATGCGAAGAGTAATCATGATTTTAAAAACAGTATTTACTTCCTATTAAGTCCCGTGGCTCTTGATTTGCAATAAAGGCAAGTCTTTTTTTCTTCTCTTTGGCTCCTTTGCACTGGGAAGTTAGGTGGAGTGCTGTTACCCTGACAACTTTCTAATTCATGGAGTTTATTCTGTTTGAATGCATGGGAATAAAATGATAGATTTGGATGGTGAAATCTCCCTGCCATGTGAGGCAGGGGGAAAGAAAAAAAAATAATCTTGTTTAGGGCCACGTAATTGGGTTGAATACATGCTCAGTGTTTCAGCTGGAATTCCCAGGCAAAACAGCACTTTGCTAGGCTTTTTTATTCCATGGATAAAAGGAAATTATCAGTTTAGTTGCAACCTGACAATTACCCTTGGGGGATTTAACCCTTTGGATAAAGCACAAGTATCCTCACAGCTTAGCGGTGGCAAAGCAGTGTCTCAGGGAGGTTAACGCTGGGATTGGCTGGTTGAACCCCACCGACCTGTGTTAAACTCGAGGTGAGCATCCCTAGGATAGCATCCCAGCTGTCTCCGAGGCAGGGAAAGACGCTGACACAGCACAATCAATACTCATCAGGAGGCAGCCACACAGGGCTGGAGGCCGTCTCCCTGCGCAGGATGCGAGCGCAGGAGGTGGTGGGCAGCTCTTTGTCCACCTCCCCTCTTCACCCCAGGGACTGGCCGAGGTGTGTGGGGGCAAGCTGGGGCTATGCCCACGTCAGCAGGGTCGTGCCCAGGGGCTCTGCAGAAGCCATGGCTTGTCAGGGGTGTAACAGAGAGCAGGAGCCAGCCCTGAACTGTTGAGATCTGATCTGAGCAGTAAAAAATCCAATTATCTGCCTGGCTGAGATCCCATTTGTTTACATCTTAAAAATACAAGGAGTAAGGGAGCTGTGAGTGTGCTGTTTAAGCAGCTTGGGTTCAGCTAGCGAAGGGCAGGTATATTTGCCTGCATGGGTCGTGATGTTTAATGATGCTAATGCAACTGCAAGAGGGATGGTTTGCTTGCACCACGCCGCTCCTCACCAGAGAGTCTGCAGGCATCCTGAAAAAAACAAAGCCACAAATCTATTAATCTTTCCTTGTTCACACCTAAGATAAAGACAAGCGGCGCTCCCACCTGCTGCAGCATGGCTTGCGTCGAGGCTGTATTGTTTGGGAAATGCCGCTGCTGCCGATTCCCCGAGACCTGCCTGTCCTTTAGAGAAGTGTCAGCTGCAGAAACATGTCGTGTGGCTGCTGCATTACGGTCTGGTTCACTGCAGGGAAGATAAATGTGTTGTAACATGGGTTGCCTGCGCATTATGAGCAGCAGCTCCATGTAGGACAGCGTTTTCCATTGCTTTCTACCTTTGTCTTGTATCTTAAGTACAGTGGGTGCCAGGAACATTGTGCAGACATCTAAGAACAGAAAATATTTTCTGTGACATACTGTGGCATCATTTTCATCCTTTGCCTTTATGAAGATGTTGTAGCTCTTCTATCTTTGGTGATGAGTCTCCTCAAATCCTGCACTTTAATTAATCTATTTGTACTTTTCTTGTGTTGTCTGCCTGCCTCTCTCCCTCATATATGTGCACACAAATGAATTGTAGATTTGTAGTGCTTTCTTAGCTTAAAATTCTTTGATGTCGCCTGGAATCAAAGTCAGTGGCTTCAACAGGGACATCTTTATTTAAAAAGTAACGTTTGAAGGTTTACCAATTTATATGTATTTCAGAGCTCCCCCTCACGTGCTTTTGCAGAGCATCAGATGGTAGGTGGTCTGATTGGTTTCCGTGGAGACACAAAAGGGCTTTTCAAAGTAATGAAAATCTCCAGCTCTGTGGGGCTTTGAACCACAGGCTCCTTCTTCCACTGAAATTTCACATCAAATCAGCCAGCAAGAAAGTTTGGGGCCGTGAGTGCAGGTAGATCCCCTGTGGTGGGTGCAGGGTTCCCATGCCAGGGCTGGCTGTGGAAGGAGGGGTGGGTGACCGTGCCACCCGAGATGTCCCTGCAGCTGGGTGGCATGAGGCATCACTCCTTGCAGGGCAGAAGCAAGAAATGTGCAGCTAGAAATGAAACTTTTCCATCCCTCCAGCGTCCCAGGCACCTGGGGTGAGATCTCGCTGTTGGGAGCTGGGTGCCGTGGGGTGGTGGAGCTGCTCGACCCTCGGGGGAGATTTGGGGGCACCTCAGCTCTCAGATTCCCCCAGCAGTGGCTGTGCTTGCAGGGGATGTCAGGGAGCTCCACTGCGCATCAGATCTCCTTAAAGCTGTGTGAAGTTGGACCCAGAGTCACTGGGCTATTTTTAAAAATAAGAATGGCATCGTCATAATGAAAAGAAATTCCTGTTTCTAGGAAGACTTTTGTTTTCAAACTTCAAGCGTTTAGGATTTGGCCTATAAGATAAAAAATTAAGGTTTAGATCCTGTGTAAGTTCAACTTATGAGGTAATATGACTTTAAGGAGCCTGGTTATAGAAACAGCTTATTTAATTTTTTAAATGTTTTTTTTTCAAATCCTGCTTCACTCTCAGCTTCCACCATACCCACAGCAGCCTGACCCACAGGCTCACCCCATACCCATGGGCAGAAGCAGCCTGCAATGTGGTATGGGCTGGATGCTATGTTTTGGGGCGCAGAGGTGTCGAGCAGGGCCCCTCCAACCTCCACCCCCTTTCTCAGCTCTCCATGCTGGGGAAGCAGTCCCAGCCCCGCTGCTGGGTGCTGGGGGTGGCAGGGGACCTATCTGTCCTTGCGGGGTAGCCGTGCCACCACCAGAGATCTCACTGCAGCACAGCAGGGACCACCTTGTCCTACCCAGAAAGTCATGGCTGTGTCTCCCCCAGCAGCTCCACGTTCAAGGACTTGGAGGGGAACAGTCTGAAGGACAGTGGCCATGAGGAGAGCGACCAGACGGACAGTGAGCATGACGTGCAGCGGGGCCTCTACTGCGACACGGCCGTCAACGACGTGCTGAACACCAGCGTCCCTTCCATGGGGTCTCAGGGCCCTGAGCAAGGTGAGCCACTGCCATGTGTCTTAGGGGACTGCCCACCACCCCCTCCACACCCCTGCATGTCCCATCTGGTGGCTCCGGTTCTGTCTCAGCGGTACACAATAAGGATGCTTAGCACTTGCTGGGAATAATGCTGTATGGTGTCATAGTGCTGGGTAGATAGAAATTAATCTTCACGCCACGCCTGTCAGGTAATCATGCAGTTAGGATTATCCTCTATTTCACAGGCAGAAAACCCACGGCCCTGAGCACCCGCTTGACAGTGAGCGAGCAACAGAGTTGGGATTAGGGCCAGAATTACCCGTGCTGTGCCTGGGGCTGGTCCCTGCCGGCACTCCTCTTCGGCCAGTGCACCCTTCCTTGCACACTCTGCTTGCCGTCTCCAGAGCTTGTGCACAGGTGCTGTGCAGGCAATTTTGCCAAAAAGACAGAGGAGTGTGTAGGCAATTAGTCAGGCATCCCATGAGGGATTAACTCAGGCTAGTGGGTGAGGTCTTTTCCCCTGAACAGACAGTGGGGTTTCAGCTCTTATGCATCCCCACAAGCAGGGATGAAGTCCTGCTCTGAAACCAGACTGGTATTAGCTAGAGGAAAGAAGTCAGAAGAGTTCAGCTGAGCCGAAGTCATCGTTTGTACTTGGGCAAGAATGTCGCTTTTAATGTCTGACGGATGCAAACATCCTATGCAAACATCCTGTCTTTTTCAATTAAGAAGCCTGACCGCGGTTTGGTGCTCAGGCGCAGCGGAGCCTCGGGGCACTTGGCTATATCTTGAGATAAGCTGTAGCTGAGGCTCAACTGGAAGCCCCACTGCTAAAAGACTTAAGGATATGAAAACAAAATGCTGTGATTATGAACTGGTCTTCAGCTGTTTAATTCAATTCATGGTAAACATCATTAAAGGCCTTTGTTTTGCTGTCATAAAAGAGTCAAACAGGGGAGAGAGAGTTCTTGCCATCTGCGCCACTGAATGTGTTGGGTTTTTTTTCTGGAGAGAAGCTGATCGCTGTATTAATTCTCTATAGAGTCTGTTAAATGGCCATAGTTAACCCTGTAAGACTCCGTGAGGAGGGGAACGTGGAGGTCACCTACCCATTCCATGCTCCCAGCCACACTAATTGGAGAGGGATGGCATCCGCAGCGATAATGTATTTCCAGACAACCCTACTGTGGCCAAAGATGAAAAAAATTAAACATTTATATAACTGTACAGTGGCAGTTCAATTCTCTGTGGACCGGTGCCGTGTCAAAGAATGCAGGCTGATAGCTATCATTTATTATTCTTCTATTACAAAGAAATGCTTTTTCATTTTTATCAGGAGAGGGTTTCCTAAGATGCGTTTGCAGTAAGGGATGACTGTAGGAGCAAAAATGTTCATAATTGATTCCCAACCTGTTGAATGGTCTGAGCAACATCTGTTAATTTTTTGTCACATTTCTTCAGCAAAAAAACCCCAATCTCAATGGACCACAGATAGGGTTTTACAGAGATTACATTTCTGATAACTCTGCGTGCTGGCTCTGTTGTGCACCAGATAACAATGCAAATAAGTTAGAGAATGAGTTGGAGGCAGAGCTCAAAAGAAGAGTCAGATGGAAATAAATGTGGTCCAATCCATTGTAACTTGAACTCCTCATTGTGTGTAAAATACCCCCCAAAAATCAGGAGTATTTCCAGAAGGTGACTTCCAACAGTAGCCTGTGTGTCTGGCTCCCAGCCCTGTGATGGCCAGGGGGTTGGTGCTGTTGGCTCTGGTTTATTTCTGGGAGGAAGTGGGCATGCCAGCGCCGCATTGCCATCCAGCAGGCAAACAGGTAGGTGTGCCAGACGGCCAGCTTCCCTGTCCTCCAGGACCCATGCTGTCCCATGTGTAGGAGCAGGGGGAAATGGCCTGTGAGGTTATCGGGTTGTTCATGGAGTGATAAGAGAAGCAGTGCATGCAGGGAGGTTAGCAGTTACTGTCACTGAAGCTGAAAAAAAGGATTAAAGAGAATATTTTCTGAGCCGATTTGTCGAGCCTGGACTGTGGAAAATAATCAGGAAAATCAAGATGCGGAGATGATGGTGATAACAGCGGTTTCCACATGATTAAAGTGATGGTTTTGGCATCGTAATTTTTACATGAATTTGGGTCAGAGTGGTGAGGGGGGAGGAAACAGAGCAAGTTCATTGCCAAGGATGCGCAGGACCAGTGGTCTGACCATTGCCCCAAGCACACAATCTGTGGCCAAAGGGCAGCCTGGCAGCTCATATCCCCATGCTTTGTCTTTGCTCACTGTCCCTGCCTGAACCACATCTCATGTAATCTCAGAGAAATGGGATGGGAGAGTCTCCAGGGTTTGCTCATCAATGTTAATGATCCTGCCTGGAAGCCCAGTGAGGTGCCTTCATGGCCAGGCTTTGCTGGTCTTGAACCTTGGCTTGCAGCACCGTGAGTCCTTCATGAGTGACCAACTCTCAGATTTCATCAGATAGCTGGGGAGTCTTTATCTGCTCGGTAGGTGATCCTGGACCTGCCGAGGCAGGACGCTGGCTGGCAGAAATCCTTGCAGCTCAGGGGTGGAGTACGATTTCCCTGTGGTGGCACTGTGGGGTTAGCATGGACCTGTCTTGCCAGCCTTCACCTGGTGGTATGCTGGATTTCCTGCAGAAAGAGGTAGATGTGGGGTAGGCATGGGTGAGTCCAAGCTCTTTTAATGTTTTTAAACCAGTGCATGAGCCCAGTGCTGGTGGTGAGTATGGGGTCATGAAAGCCCAGGGCCCTCCACCTCTACCAGGTTGGAGGAGACTTCACCGCCCTGGCGCCACTCTTTGATGGGAGTGATACCAGCTGTCAGTCCCACTGGCAGGAGCCTTTTCTATTCCTTTGGAAGTGACCTAGATTTCCAGAAAAATAGCAAACCATAACGTGGAGGTGTCAAGCTTTAATGAGCAGCAGCAGGTCATCAGAAATACCTCCTGGAGCTCAGCCACACTGCTTATTTTGGAAGTAGGATTCCTGCCCAGTCCCTCTTTACCTCAGGATCTTAATTATTGGTTATAAATTCATCAGTTGAAAAAGATGGCTTTAATTGCTCTAATATGTACCCAATTTGAAGTTCATTATCACCCAGAATTGTTTTCCTTCCCCTGCTAATTAATACCAAATGGGATGCTGAGGAAGGCGGGCACCAGTGCTGCTCCACCTTCTGCGATTGCCTTAATTGTTTGTTTATTTGTGGTGGTGTTAAGCGCTGCTAGAAGTTTATATGCACTCCTTTCCTAACGTCGTCCTCAGTTGAACTTCCAAACAGATTTGTTTGAGAAAGGGAGTTTTTGAAGTAGCTGTTGGATCTCAGCAACGTTTTGGGTTGGCTGGAGAAGTTTGTTGGAGGATGGGGGTAGGTCCTGGGGTCCCGCTTCGTATCCTGGCCTATTTCCCTGCAATGTGGGGTGGATTTTCTCCATGTCCTGCTGTAACCTTGACTCAAAGTCCAGCACTGGAGGAAGCTCTGATTTCGAGCAAGGAGGTGAAGCGTGCGGTGGTTCCAGGAAGGAGACCCACCGCTGGTATTGCCTTCATAGGACAGCAGTGGGTAATACCAGCAGGAGCTTTGCTGCCGGGTTTGAAGCTCCTGACACCTGTTCCTCCCAATAAATGTGGGGAAATCTCAGTGTGAAATGTTTTCCAACACTGCAGAGCTTTTCCTGGGAAATGGCAGTGCAGACCAGATGTTTCACGGAGTAATTGAAAATTCCATTTTATCAGAAAGCATTTGCTGTCAAAAAGTTTTATCTTTACTTCAACAAAGAGGTTGATTAGATCCCTCAGGACCTGAATTAGCATCTTTGAGGCTAGATACTCTGTTTTGTGATTCAGGTAGTTATTCCTGCCTTGGTTTTCCTCATACTGGAACTTTTTAAAAATTCCTTTGCCTTCTTCCAGACATAGCATTTCTGCACGTTTGGCTTGTTTTCTTTGTGTGGATGTATACAGGCACCTAGATTTTAAATCTTTTCCATTACCATTTTCACCTTGCCTTGAGCCAGAGCCATATTTGCACTCTATAAGTCATAGGAGCTCTTGCCAGCATAGAAATCAGAAAGGAACTATTTCAAATATGTGTTTTTATTGTTAGAAGCAACAGATAATTCTCGGTGCTGGCCAGTATTTTCACCATCAGTTGTAGAAGGATAATCATTGGCCCAATGAAGCAGTGATTTGCTGTTTAAGATAAAAATAGTATCCAAAAGAAAATATGAAAATAATAAACACACTAATCATAAAAAGCCAGTGTTAGAAATAGTTACCACAGCCATAAAATAGTGAAAAAGCTTTAAAATCAAAGTGAGAGGGTTTTTAAATGATGATAGTAATGTGTGTCTACAGAGAATTGCTTCTAAAAGCATCACTTCTATTTTTCTGGTGCCAGATCAGCAGTAAAGGTTGGCATGAAATGTCATCTGCAAAGACCTGATCCTGCATAGATTGCCATATTTGAGTAACTTTGCTCACAGAGGTGCTTTAATTGTGTCTGAGTCCCATAAACTCCAGCAAGACGATGAGCCCTTTGAATAGAAATGGGTTATATTTAAATGCTTACGTTAAGTCTTCTTTATACTACTGCACAGTATAGCAATAGGCTTGGATGTGAAGGAGAGCCGGGCCCATGATTTATGCGCTGAAACTTTTCTTGCTGATTGCATCCCAAATTATTCAGATACATTGTCATTTAGGGGATCAGGTTTTATCTAGAATATTCCAATTGGTTCTTATGCTCGTCTCCATAGTATCTGGGTGCATTTCAGTCATGAATTGAGAACATGACTAATGGTATTAACTGAAGGCAAACACAGGTATTAAAAACTGTTGATTTTTTAAGCTGATTTCCAGCAGCCATTCCACCTGCACCCTTTTATTCTGCAGAAAAGCCTTTCTTTAGAGCTCTATGTACATGAAGACCTAAGTGACATATTCTATGGCTTTGGCAGCTGGAAATAACAGCTGCATTGCTCTGAAAGTT